GGGTTGCACTAGGTGACCTTGAGAGGTTCCTTCTCACCCAAACCCATCTGTGATGCCATGAGATGGGGCTTCAGATCTCAGAGCTCTGTCATACGTTGGCTGCACCTACCCTCCAAGAGGAACCTGCTTCTTGTGTTCCCTACCCTCTGACTGTTGTGGTCAGGAGAAGTTTTGGAGTCACAACTCAACCCTCTGCTCCTTCCCAGGAAGGCAGGAGAACAGAGCTCTGCCAGGGCGTGGGACAAGGCACCTCCTGGGGGTGGGGGCACCTCGGGGTGCAGTGCAGGTGAGGGGTGGGGAGACCCAACAAACCACAGGTGACTGCTGCAGGAGCTGCTGCCAGGCTGCCACCAACCAGCCATTAACTGAGCCCAGAATAACGGGGCCCAGTTGTGGCCTCCATCTGTACAATGAGAAAGCTCCTGCACAGGAGCTACTGCAGGCAAGCCAGGAACAAGGGAGCAGCTGACATGTGTCACCAAAGTGACAAAAAATATATAAAATCCAGGAAAAGTTGAGTGGAGGGAGCAGATTTACAGATCTGTTTATTCCACAGAATGAGAGCACAACAACTCACTGCACATTTCTTCAACAAAGAGTCCAGGAGAATTCAGAACCTTTTTATTCTAAACTGCCATCAAGAAACAAACCTTAAACTAATGCTAATTTTGCACATTATGGTCAACATGTGTCTTTTTACTTTGGAAACAATACAGATGGTGAACGTTCAGGAGTGTCAAGGAATTCTTTTCAACAGGGTGAAAGGCCTGAGGCTGCAGAGGTGTGACCAGGGTGCTCTCTATGAAGTCAGCACTGCCAAGGACAAGGTAATTTAAGCCCAAACCCATCCCCTCCACACGCCCTACACAGACAAACTCGGGTGCTGGCAGGAGGAAGAGCAAGAAGTGCATGCACAGGGGAAGTACTTCTAGGGGTGGCTGGTCCAGATGGTTTCAATTCACCATTACCCCAGAGGGCATCCCAGCCTCTTCCCAGGCTGGAGGAGCTCTCAGAACCCTCTTCATGCTCTCCAGGCTGTAACAGGCCCCCAGACAAGACCTCAGGGGCTACAGCTGTTACAGCCACAGCTCACTGCAGAGACTTCTGCACCTCCCCAGCCACCGACCAAAAGCTCCCACCCATGTCCAGTGGAGGGGAAGCAGCAATCCCTGACACACCACAGCACCCTGGGCTGGAGGTGGCTCTGCAGGTCCCAGACCTGCCTGTGGCAGAAACTCCTGGCAATCCCAGGTCCCCTCAGAAGCTGCTCTCAAGGAGGCAGGTGTCACATCCTGCCCCCCAGCCCCTGCAGGGGCCACCCAGCACCCCGCAGCCAGAGATCTCAGCAAGTGCCCCCCCAAGGCCAAGCCCACGCAGAGGACTCACAGCTCTACCAGGACTCTCCAGGGAACAGGGAGGACTTGGGGACACGCAGGCCTGTGGGCAACTGGTTCTGTGGCTCAGTGGGGCCCCTGGAACTGAGAGAGCTCGGTCACTGCTGCTGCCAAGTGCCCCTCTCACCTTCTACCCACAGCACGGAGGAGAGAGGGGACATGGGGGGATGCTACTTTGTCACTGGGAGGGAGTGGTGCTCAGCAGAGCCACGGGTGCTCTGAAGACTGGAAAGTTGTCCAAGAAGGGTCACAGGTGAGCCCAGAGAGCACCACGGTCACCTGCATGGCAGGGGGGGTGCACCATGGTGGAGCACACACAGAACTCACAGAGCTGCCCATGGGCTGAGACAAAACTCGCTTGGGCAGCTCCAGTGGTGCCCTCACAGCACAGCCTGGAGTCCTGATCCACTGGGGGATCAATGGAACCAGTCAAGGCAGCTCCATCCAGTCCCACACTGGCCATTAAGCTGCCTGCTCACGTCCCCAACGCCAAGCTGTGCTCACGCTCTGCAGAGGGCAGGAGAGGGAGGTCTGTGCCAGCACCAGCACATCTGCCAGGTCTAAGGTGACAGGAGGTCACGGGGCTGGCTGCTGGCTAACCCTCAGCTCAACAGAAACTGAGCAACTGTGTGAAAAGGCTCCAGAGGGAGGCACCTGGAAGCCCCATTTCCAACGTCAGAATAAAGGCTGGACACCCTTCTCCCCTGCACTCCAGCCAGACGTCCAGCAGGACCCCAACGTGGGCTGTGGGCAGGAAGGGCACCCTGCCACCTGCATCCAGCAGCAGAGAGTGTCTGTGTCCCTAAGGGATTCCTCCTCCTGGGCAGGCCAGCACATGGAAAAGCAAATCCACCCCAGGGCTGCACGCTGGGAACGGCCGTGGCTCATCAGCACCCTCCCCACAGGCTCTGCTGAGCAGCAAGGTCAGCCCATGCCCAGCCACCAGGCTGCAACATTCCCTCACACAAAGCAGGGCTGTGGGGGACCCCCCTGCATTCAGTACCTGCTGCTGCCAGAGCTGATGGTGCCCCACACGAAGGTCGAGTTCGACTGCAGCGAGGACTCTGCGAATGGAAACAGAGGCTGTGGCTCAGCAGTGGGAACTCCAGCAGCCACCAGCACACCAGAGTGGCTGTCAGACCTCTGCAGGGCCAAGGGGGAGGCAAATGTCATCCCATGAGGAACGTGTCTGCTCCACTGACACTGAACTGAGGAACACAAAAGTCAGCACGTTTCCATTGGCACCACTGCACATGAGCTACAAGAGCTTCTCTGGGAGGGAGCAGGTGCCTGCACACATTTATCTCCACACCTGCTCTGGCAGGTTGAGAAGCTCTCTACACCAAGCAGAGCCTGCTGGGTAGAGAGAGGTGTGTTTTTAGGAAGGAGCACCAGCAAGGTGTGCTACAAGGGAGAGCTAAGTGCACAGCACCTCTGGGCTCACGCTGTCCCACGGGGAGCTGAGGGACAGGACAGGGGAGAGGGCAGATGGGGAAGCTCCTCACCACTTTCCCAGTCTTCATCACAGGGAGGTGGCTGCCACGTGCTCACGACATTCGTCGTCCCTCTCTGCAATCCAGAGGACTCCTCTGCTTCAGGAAGAGAGAAGACACAGTGATTGGCAGCCAGTCCTGCTGCAGAGGCATCCAGTGCTCTGGGTAAAGGGGCACAACAGCTCTTGGCTTCAGAGGGAAATTCACACGATCCCAACAGGTCAGGTGCACCCAGGAGCCAGGTACCCACTGGAAACAGCAACTTCAAATTCCCCTTTTCAATGAACAGAAAAGCTTCTGACCCCTGGGGCTGCACAGCAGGAGTGCTGCAGTGGAGAGGAAACCTGCTCACACCAATGCAGGCATCACTGCCAGGCTCAGGGCAACCCCTGCCCCAGCTAGAGAGCTCCCTGCCTGCTCTGTGCTGTGGCAACAGCTGAAGAGCTCCTGCAGGGGATGGAAAAGACTCCTCTGCACAGCACAGCACACCTGCCTAAAGACTTGGGTGGGTTTGGACAGCCCCCCTCCTCCCTCCTCCCACTGGGCAGGAGACTGAAAACATCTTAACTCTATGGCAGATGAAGCAAAAGCAGCAGCAGAGCAGCCTGGAAGAGGAGCTGCTCTGACTCTGGGTGGGAATGGGCTGCTCAGCTTGCCCTGGAGAACAGCTGCCAGGGGATCCACAGCTTAGACACCTGCTTGGTAGAAGCCAGTTCTTCACATGGCATCCATGGGGAGCCTCAACAAAGGGACCTCAGCTCTACAAAAAGAAGGGCCTGTCCTCCTGCATCAAAGCATCTCAGCTCCTGCTGGAGGTACTTTGATACCCACAGCCCAGGCTACAACCTTTGGATTCAGCAGGCCCAGGAGTAAAACATGTGCAAGGCCCACCCAGAGCATCTGCAATGTTCTCATGAACCTCCCCACAAATCAAAGCAAGCACGACTCGGTTCCCCAGAGCTGCTGCCCCACAGATCTCTAGGCAATAACTTGGCTCCTACTTTGTGGTCACTCCAGGAGCTGTCCTTACCAAGAGGAGGCCTCAGGCCCCAGGGTGAGCCCGTGCCTTGGAGCAGGGCTGGTTCTCTTACCCAGGTCTTGCTCCAGGAGCTCTCTGTCACTGCACTGCAGGATGTGATCACGGAGCTCAGCATGAGGAACCAGGTGGCGAGCATTGAAGGGGCACGTGGCCAATTTCTCTGCAACTTCAGGGTGGCTCTAGACAAGGGACAAGACAAAATCTCATGCCAGCTCTCTCACGTTCACTCATCTCTCGCTTGCTAATCCACAGAAAAAAACTCTGACACTGCAGTTCCCATTCTCTCCAAATTTGAAGACTCTTCATGTGAAAAGGGAAATAAATATTGGATGCAGTCTGGTGCTTTAACTCTGGAATTAAGTCTTGGGGGTCCATGGCCACAAAAGGTATTTCAAGGGGGTCTGTGGTGAAGGAAAGGTCGAGAAATTAAGACTAAAAAAAATGGGATGACCTTGAAGGTTAAAATAATCAGAAACAATAATGAAGGGCAGTATCTAAAGGCAGTAAAATTCTGCCAGCTTCTGTAGCTAATGCCTCATTCTGGCTTCTTTACATACACCAGAGACAGGCTGGGACAAAGACCAGAACATCAAGGTGTCCCCCACACAACCTGTGCTGATTTTAATACTAAAACCACCCCTCTGGGAGGAAAATGTCAATTGAAACGTAGGACCAGCTCAGTCACATTCTGTAACAGGACAATGAATTAGGTAATTGATGGGGCACGTGCACAAAGATTGGGGTGATGCAAAACTCTGTAACTAATGATATACAAGACAAAGAAAGAAATGATACCCAAGCCACTGCTGTTGGAGCTGAGGGGGGCTGGATTTGCCATTGATCACCCAGCTCCTGTGTCTGTAGAGCAGAAACCGAGCAAATATCTCGACTCTGTGTCAAGGGCTTTGCACACCAGGCACAGGGCCCTTTTTGGGGACTGCTGGCCACTACCCAGTGTGCACAGCCAGGGCTGCTGTGTCCTCACGTGGCCAGCAACAGCTTGAGGAAGCTCTTCTGGCTGCACAGAGGCAGCTGCTCAATGCCAGCACAGCTCAAGCTGGGAGGATTCCACTGGCTCTGCCAGTGTGTCCCCTCTGCGTGGCAGGGCTGCATCCTGCACACAGCAATGGGAAGCTGAGGCAGCTGGAAGCATTTCAGTGGATTGGATGCACATGGCATGCAAAGGAAATTCAACAAACCACCAAGCAAGAGGGACAAGTCTCCACTCAGACACCTGCCACTGCAAATAAACAGAGAGTGGTACCTTCGAGTGGCTCAGAGAAGCCCTGAGCCCTCCTTCTGCTAATTCTCCCCATTCCCCAGTGGTGTCTGACTGGTAGATCACTGTCTCACCTCATCCCCCTGACCAGGTCACCTTGCCAGAACTGCCCCACCAGCAGTTATGCAACCCAAGCACAAAACCAACAGGGTTCAAAGTTGCCTTGCCAGTGCTGCTCACTTGGCTCACACCTTCTTGCCAGAATTTGCAGGGTGTCAGCCAGGAAAATTTCAGCCCTCTGGAACGTTGGGAAGATGAAGGTACTTGCCACTCTGCTCTGCCTGCCACCTTCACTCCAAAGGGAATATTTTTTAAGGCTCTAGTTCCACCAAGATGAATTGTTTGTAACTACTGATACCAGGACACACACCCTACAACTGCATCTGCACTGGAAGGCTCAGGCAGCACTGTTCAGATGAGTTTTAAAACACATTGGCCAACTGAGCAGTAAAGCTCAAGAGGAACAAACAAGTGTTAAAAGGTCTAAGCAAAAACTCATACCTCAGCCAGGTGCCACTGTCTACAGAACACAAACCACCAGGCCAGCAGAGGAGGAGGAGGAATGCTTCCCATTAAAAATTTGTCGTTGAATTCTGGATAAAAGATTGAGAGGGGAAAAAAACCAAAACTTCTCCCAGACGTGCTGAGCCCAGGGTGTGCAGTTTGTGCCAGATGCACACCAGTTATTGGCAAAACAACAAAAAAACCCACAAACCTGCTCTGCAGCTGGATTTCCAGCACTTACTGAACGAGTTACAACATCACAACACTCCTCTGCTGAGCCAAGGGGGTGTGTGCAACTCAGACTGAGCTCTCCTGAAGGGAAAAAATGCATCTGACCTCTGAGTGAGCTGCTGGAGGAGAACACAATTTCCTCCCTGCCCCCACCACGACCAATCTCTGCCTCTTTCAACAGAGCCACACTGCTCTGGGGTGAATGAACATGTGCTTGAAGCTGTTACTAAACACAGAAAGTTCTGTGAAATAAGGGCTAAACAAGGCTATTTGTCAGAACCTCACTCCAGCCAGAAAATGCAACAAGAATGACAACACCCCCACCATCCCCATGCGTGGGATCCCTGCTGTTCAGCTCCTTGGCTGCAGCCCCACTCACCTTCCTGCACTTCACGAGGTGATAGGGAAACCGCCGGGCTCTGATCTGATGGTGTTTATCATATGGGCATTGTACTAATCTCTCTGGATCCCAAACATCTGGCAGAGTGGAAGAACAAAGAGACAAACACTAGTTAGGAAGACAAGACCCAGCAGCACTCCCACAGAGCAGTGGGCAGAGCCCACAGCACCACACCAGGGCTGGGACCCCAGGGAGTTGATCCAGTTGTTGTCAGTCTGACACTGCTCATTAAAGCAGGGACCTGTTCTGCACAAATTCATGTTGGACTCTGTGCTGACTGGGACGTTGGTCAGAGCAGAGGGAACAGTCAGTCACCCCCAGCAGAACAGCTCTTCAAGGGACCACAGCAGGCAGTCACCACACACCCTCCAAGCCAGCGAAGGCAGCAGCACTTCTCCAGCTCTCTGGGGGCAGAATCCGTGGGATGGTGACACAGCCACCAGCACCTTCAGGAGCAGCAGCAGTCTGACCCAAAACTGTCTGGATCAAGGGCTAGTTTTGCTGGAGTGAGAATGCCAGGGAATTGAGTTTCCATTTCTGAGGATGCCACGTACCAAACATGGTGCATGTGACTTCTAAATGAAACTTTTCACAAGTCAGGCAATTATTTGGGTGCTGGGGAGCTACTAACCTGGCTAACCCCAACTCCCTCAGCCTGGCCCCACAGCAGAGGGGTTCCAGCCCTCTGATCATCTTCATACCCTCCTCTGGACCCATTCCAGCAGGTCCTCCTCTTTTTTTCTTTTAAAAAAAAGGTCTTCTTTTTCTCTCATCCCTGCCAGCTGTGAACACCTCTCACCTCCAGTAGCCAGTGTAGGTCACTAGAACAGCTGAAAACTCCAGACTTCCTCATCAGGAAGGCCCAACAAACTTTGCAGTGGTGCAGCTGCCCCGGGCAGAACAATCAGGAGTGATTTCTCTCTGTGAAGGGGCTCGACACCAATTCAGACCAAGTCCATTACCAGTAAAAGGAAGGAGACAGGGGAAGAGGAAAATCCCCACCACAGTACATGGAACAGCCAACGACAACAACTACAGAAAACCAAACCCACACAACAACACCAGCACACACCAAACCCCACCAGAACCAGAGGAGCTGGCTCGGGCAGGTGACCAGATGCAGGTAACACAATCTGTGATGAGCCAAGTGTCCACGGCTCCAGCAGAGCCTTGTTCCCAGCCACGGAAACACTCCCACAGCAATCCTCAGCCCGCGTCTCCGGAGCCGGCCCAGGCAACGCTTCAGCCCAGCCAAGGCACCGTCTGCAGGCGCCTCGGGAAGGCCAAAACCCCCGAAAGGTGCCCGGCGGCCCGGTGACAATCCCCGAGCAGGTTGTTCTGAACCGCAGGAGCCTGCCAGGCTCGGGCACAGCGCCCGGGGACAGACTCGCACCGGCCGGGCCCTCCGCGGCTGATGTCGGCG